AAATTGAAGCAGTCATCAAAAACCTCCCAAGACACAAGAGTCCAAGGCCAGATGGGTTCCCAGGGGAATTCTATCAAACGTTTAAAGAAGAAATCATACCTATTCTACTAAAGCTGTTTGGAAAGATAGAAAGGGATGGGATACTTCCAACCTCATTCTATGAGGCCAGCATCACCTTAATTCCAAAACCAGACAAAGACCCCACCAAAAAGGAGAATTACAGACCAATATCCCTGATGAACATGGATGCAAAAATTCTCAACAAGGTACTAGCCAATAAGATCCAACAGTACATTAAGAAAATTATTCAGCATGACCAAGTAGGATTTATCCCCGGGACACAAGGCTGGTTCAACACTCGTAAAACAATCAATGTGATTCATCGTATCAGCAAGAGAGAAACCAAGAACCATATGATCCTCTCATTAGATGCAGAGAAAGCATTTGACAAAATACAGCATCCATTCCTGATCAAAACTCTTCAGAGTGTAGGGATAGAGGGAACATTCCTCAACATCTTTTTTTTTTTATTTATGATAGTCACACACACAGAGAGAGAGAGGCAGAGACACAGGCAGAGGGAGAAGCAGGCTCCATGCACCGGGAGCCTGATGTGGGATTCGATCCAGGGTCTCCAGGATCGCGCCCTGGGCCAAAGGCAGGCGCCAAACCGCTGCGCCACCCAGGGATCCCATTTCTCAACATCTTAAAAGACATTGCTGCTTAAAAGCCCACAACAAATATCATTCTCAATGGAGAAGCACTGGGAGCCTTTTCCCTAAGATCAGGAACAAGACAGGGATGTCCACTCTCACCACTGCTATTCAACATAGTATTGGAAGTCCTAGCCTCAGCAATCAGACAACAAAAAGACATTAAAGGCATTCAAATTGGCAAAGAAGAAGTCAAACTCTCCCTCTTCACCAATGACATGATACTCTATATAGAAAACCCAAAAGCCTCCACCCCAAGATTGCTAGAACTCATACAGCAGTTTGATAGCGTGGCAGGATACAAAATCAATGCCCAGAAATCAATGGCATTTCTATACACTAACAATGAGACTGAAGAAAGAGAAATTAAGGAGTCAATCCCATTTACCCAAAAGCATAAGATACCTAGGAATAAACCTAACCAAAGAGGTAAAGGATCTAACCCTAAAAACTACAGAACACTTCTGAAAGAAATTGAGGAAAACACAAAGAGATGGAAAAATATTCCATGCTCATGGATTGGCAGAATTAATATTGTGAAAATGTCAGTGTTACCCAGGACAATTTACACGTTTAATGCAATCCTTATCAAAATACCATGGACTTTCTTCAGAGAGTTAGAACAAATTATTTTAAGATTTGTGTGGAATCAGAAAAGACCCCAAATAGCCAGGGGAATTTTAAAAAAGAAAACCATATCTGGGGGCATCACAATGCCAGATTTCAGGTTGTACTACAAAGCTGTGGTCATCAAGACAGTGTGGTACTGGCACAAAAACAGACACATAGATCAATGGAACAGAATAGAGAATCCAGAAGTGGACCCTGAACTTTATGGTCAACTAATATTCGACAAAGGAGGAAAGACGATCCACTGGAAGAAAGACAGTCTCTTCAATAAATGGTGCTGGGAAAATTGGACATCCACATGCAGAAGAATGAAACTAGACCATTCTCTTACACCATACACAAAGATAAACTCAAAATGTATGAAAGATCTAAATGTGAGACAAGATTCCATCAAAATCCTAGAGGAGAACACAGGCAACACCCTTTTTGAACTCGGCCACAGTAACTTCTTGCAAGATACATCCATGAAGGCAAAGGAAACAAAAGCAAAAATGAACTCTTGGGACTTCATCAAGATAAGAAGCTTTTGCACAAAAAAGGATACAGTCAACAAAACTAAAAGACAACCTACAGAATGGGAGAAGATATTTGCAAATGACAAATCAGATAAAGGGCTAGTTTCCAAGATCTATAAAGAACTTATTAAACTTAACACAAAAGAAACAAACAATCCAATCATGAAATGGGCAAAAGACATGAAGAGAAATCTCACAGAGGAAGACATAGACATGGACAACATGCACATGAGAAAATGCTCCACATCTCTTGCCATCAGGGAAATACAAATCAAAACCACAATGAGATACCACCTCACACCAGTGAGAATGGGGAAAATTAACAAGACAGGAAACCACAAATGTTGGAGAGGATGCGGAGAAAAGGGAACCCTCTTACACTGTTGGTGGGAATGTGAACTGGTGCAGCCACTCTGGAAAACTGTGTGGAGGTTCCTCAAAGAGTTAAAAATAGACCTGCCCTACGACCCAGCAATTGCACTGTTGGGGATTTACCCCAAAGATACAGATGCAATGAAACGCCGGGACACCTGCACCCCGATGTTTCTAGCAGCAATGTCCACAATAGCCAAACTGTGGAAGGAGCCTCAGTGTCCATCGAAAGATGAATGGATAAAGAAGATGTGGTTTATGTATACAATGGAATATTCCTCAGCCATTAGAAATGACAAATACCCACCATTTGCTTCAACGTGGATGGAACTGGAGGCCATTATGTTGAGTGAAGTAAGTCAATCGGAGAAGAACAAACAGTGTATGTTCTTATTCATTTGGGGAATATAAATAATAGTGTAAGGGAGTATAAGGGAAGGGAGAAGAAATGTGTGGGAAATATCAGAAAGGGAGACAGAACATAAAGACTCCTAACTCTGGGAAACGAACTAGGGGTGGTGGAAGAGGAGGAGGGCGGGGGGTGGGGGTGAATGGGTGACGGACACTGAGGGGGGCACTTGACGGGATGAGCACTGGGTGTTATTCTGTATATTGGTAAATTGAACACCAATAAAAAATTAATTTATTAAAAAAAGTGGTTTGCCTAAACTAGACAACTTGAGGTAAACTTCAGAGTAATTGACACAATAGCTTTGGCTGCCTCTTTGGTGGGACTCTGGGTTACCCTAAGACTACAACACAAAATAAGCAAAACAGTATGTTTACTCAGCAGAACTCTAAATGATACTTCCCAGGCACTAGCTGTACTTAACCAAAAATTAAGGGAAGGCAGAGAGGGACTTTCTGAAACCACCTTTGATTAGCCACTATTGATTATCTACAATTGCTACCTCCTCATTTAGGATTCAAGGAGTTTCCTCACGTGTGTTATTTTAATATTGCAGATAACTCTCACAAAGTGTCCCAATTGATAGGGGACATTCTGGAACAATTAAATAAGATCAAGATAGCCACTGATCCATTTAATGGAATTGGTAATTGAGGATCTTACCTAAGAGATGTGATCACAATCTGGAGCTTGACATTCATTTTATGCTTGTTCTTTTTCATGTGCTGATGCAAGTATCATCTGCTGCCCATCATTACCTCCTGCTCCCCCCCACCCCGGAGCGATACCTAAGCCCCCCCCATAGATTCTAAATTTTTTTTTTTATTTATTTATGATAGTCACACAGAGAGAGAGAGAGAGAGGCAGAGACATAGGCAGAGGGAGAAGCAGGCTCCACGCACCGGGAGCCCGACGTGGGATTCGATCCCGGGTCTCCAGGATCGCGCCCTGGGCCAGAGGCAGGCGCCAAACCGCTGCGCCACCCAGGGATCCCCCCCCCATAGATTCTAACTACCATACAGCATGCTACCTCATTTCAATGGGCAGCACCCAGAGTGGTCCTGTCTCATACCTTAATGGCAGTTAGGATTATTAAACCAGGGGGAGGAATGAGTAAGGAAAGGGTTAAGGTACAAGCAGGGAGAGATAGGGGGCCTCTGACTAGGCTCTGAAACTATTCCTGGCAGGCAGAAGCCCTAAGCCAGAGTGAACAGTAGATAAGGGAATGGAGCAGACCATCTGACCCCGGAAGGTTAGGGAGTAGGTTTCATTGGCGGTTACATTATAATCATAAATGGCAGTTACATTGTAAATGACCACACCTCAAGAAGGAAGTCTCTATGAGCATTATCAGTAGCCCTTGCTCAATACGAGGAAAGCCAGAAGCTTCCTGTCAAGTTTTCAATAAAAGACTGACCCTAAAAATCCTCGGTGGCAAGCCATTTGGGACCACTCTCACTCTAGAGAGCATTTTCTTTCTTTTCTGCTTTCACTTTCACTTAATAAACGTCCACTTGACTTCACCCTTTTGTGTCCACAAGATTCATTCTTGGGCTCCCTGAGGTAAGACCTCTGCAATTCTGCATTTTTTTCTATTGTAATGAAGCACGCCGTTATAAGATGATGAACTTAATCAATACGTGTTGTGTATGTTCTGACATGCTCCCCGGGCCTGCCGCTCCCCATCTCTCTCCCTCTCCTCGGGCCTCCCTAGTCCTTGAGACACAGCAATGTTGAAATTGGGCTAATTAATACCCCAACAACGGCCTCTCAATATTCAAGCAAAAGAAGAGTCAAAAGTCTTATCAGTTACAATGGAAGGCTACAAGTGATGATGCTTAATGGGGAAGGCAAGTTGAAAACTGACATAGGCCAAAAACCAAACTTCTTGTGCAAGTTAGCCAAGTTATGACTGCAATGGAAAGTTCTCGAAGGAAAGGAAAAGTGCTACTCCAATGAACACACAGATGACAAGAAAGCAAAGCAAACTTATTGCTGATGTGGAGAAAATTTAATGGTCTGGAAGGAGGAGCAACTCAGCCACAACATTCCCTGGAGCCAAAGCCTCACCCAGAGCAAGGTCCTGACTCTCCTTATTCTCTGAAGGCAGAGAGAGGTGTGGACACTACAGAGGACACATTCGAACCTCACAGAAGTTGGTTTGTGAGGTTTAAGACACAAAGCCAACTCCATACCTTATAAATTGCAAGGCGGTGTGGACTAAGTGAAACTGTTCTTCTTTCCCATTTGGTATGTATTTTTCTTTTTTTTTTTTTAATTTTTTTATTTAAAAAAAATAATTTTTTTAAATTTATTTATGATAGTTACACACACACACAGAGAGAGAGAGACAGAGAGAGACAGAGACACAGGCAGAGGGAGAAGCAGGCTCCATGCACTGGGAGCCGGACGTGGGATTCGATCACGGGTCTCCAGGATCGCGCCCTGGGCCAAAGGCAGGCACCAAACCGCTGCGCCACCCAGGATCCCGCGGTATGTTTTTTTCTCCAGTAGTTTGTCCCACTGTGTTGCTGCAAATTCCTTTGTGGATTCCAAAGGCCTCCCAGAGCTGTTTCTGTTTATGGGTAGCTGTGTAATTGTTGATTTTCATTAGTGGGATGGGGGCTGGGGTCTCCTCTACCGCCATCTTGGTGATCTCACTTCTCTGATCTAGGAGCTATCTCTAGTTCTAGGAGCTATTCTCTATCTTTTGTATCTGCACATAGAGGGTTAGATATGAAATAAAGCAGCATTTAAGGTTTATAATCTTTCTTGCTTTCTCTCCAAAGTGCCAGCATTACTGGAAACAATTCTACCGATGTATTTCTTTTGAACTGGACAATGAATAATTTTGTATATCCCGGAAAGATATAACACTAACTTGTATCTTCAGGTTTTTCCAACTCATTTGAATACAATTTCCTTCTTTTTCTGTTCTCAGTGTTAATAGAGGTGTAGTGGAGAGACAAACACACTGGCTGTTATCATGGAAAGAGATACATTAAAGAAAGAGATGCACAGATGCACAAGATGCCATCTGACACGGTGAGAGTATATCTATTAAGCCTTTGAGGGCTCTTGATGGTTTTGAATCTTCTATATCTCATTATTGTTCCATGAAATACTGAGTACTATGGCCTGCTTTCTGTCTTTCTTTTTTCTTTCTTTCTTTCTTTCTTTCTTTCTTTCTTTCTTTCTTTCTTAAAAGATTTTATTTATTTATTCATGAGAGACACGAAGAGAGAGGCAGAGACATAGGCAGAGGGAGAAGCAGGCTCCCCGCAGGGAGCCCTCTTTTTTTTTTTTTTTTTTTTTAGTGAAAAGTCTCAGCTTACATTTTTTTAAAAAAGACTTTTTTTTTTTTTTATGAGAGAGAGAGAGATAGCAGGAGCCAGGGTGAAGGGCAGAGGGAGAATGAGAAGCAGACACCATGATGAGCAGGGAACCCAGTGAGGGGCTGGATCTCAGGACCTTGAGATCACAACCTGAGCTGAAGACAGATACTTAACTGAGTACCCAGGCACTCCGCTGCTCACAATTTTATTTATTCACTCTTCTCATCATACTTGAAGTGGGAAACCTGCCTAAAGGCACCAAGATGTATTACTTAGACTTCTTGTCTCCATTGTCAGGTAATAAAACCTTGCCTCTGACCACAATACCTTCAGACCTGAGCACAAGCGACTATGTGGGTGTTCCTCCAACTCTTTCCCGAATGCCATGGACATGCTTTTGACCATCTGATGGCATCAGTCAAACTCACTAAGCTGTATCCATGAGTGCTTCAGCTGCTCCTCATCAGCTGCTTTCCAGTGGGTCATGTCTTATCTGTGACCAATTAATGCACATTTTTGCAGAGTCATAGAACTTGCAGTAATAAATCAGTTGGACCAAAGATTCAGCTACTATGGCATATGTAATATCCCCAAATGCTAGGGAATTTGGAGGGTCACTGAAGTGAGTTATTTTCTTTGGGAGCCTAATGTTTTCTAGCTTGGGGACTAAGTAATATTACTCTTCTATAATTAATCATCACAAGGATTTGTGTCATATCCTTATTTAAAAGTTAGAAAACGGATATTTACCTCAGAGAGTGAAGCAACAATTTTGACATGAATGGAAGTTCTAAGAAATGGCAGTGGGGATCCCTGGGTGGCGCAGCGGTTTGGCGCCTGCCTTTGGCCCAGGGCATGATCCTGGAGACCCGGGATCGAATCCCACGTCGGGCTCCCGGTGTATGGAGCCTGCTTCTCCCTCTGCCTATGTCTCTGCCTCTCTCTCTCTCACTGTGTGCCTATCATAAATAAATAAAACAAAAAAAATTAAAAAAAAAAAAAAAAAGAAATGGCAGTGCCAACCTGTGGATTCCTGTCTCTTTGGTCTCCGGAGTCAGGACAGACTCACCCTAAATAGATATTGCTTTTGAGGAAGTATAATTCATGCAGTGTCGTGCAACTTTATAAAAGTTTCCTCCTTTTTTAGGGCCTTTGAAGGATAGCAGTAGAGTAAGGAATTTTCTACAACCCCCATGTTACTGGTACACAATATTGTTATACAAGTTATATGCGAGTCTATAGTGAGTCTTCCCAGGTATTACATATAAATTGATGAACATGAAGGGTTAAGAATCAAATGTTGCATGACTCCTGAGGTGAGATCACTGCTGAGTGGAGAAGGAGAACAGTTAATACAGTGAAATAAGTGGATTTCAGGGTGGACATCAGAGATTGCATCTCTGAAGATGGAGCATCTGATTTGTTACTTCCACTACATCACAGTGAAGAGACCATCCTACCATCAAGTTCCTCACACAGAATACAATGACAACTCCCTTGTGTTTTCCCAGGCCGGGTGAGTGTACCTGTGATGCAAGCACAGTGGACCAGCCCTCAGAGAGCACCAAGCTGTCAAATGAAAGCGTGAAGTCCCCGCCCTCTTCTCAGGACACAGACTATGATGACATTAACATGTAAGGGATACTATATTTGGGAGTGGGGAGGGGGAGAAGATTTTGTACTTGTCCTTCTATCTCATAGAGATTCATGAAAAGCAAAGACATTTATATTATTTGCTTAAGTGCCCACACATTCTTTCTTTTTTGTCACTATAATTTTTTATTTGAGATAGTTTAAGACTCATGGGAGGTAGCAACAAATGTACAAAAGGAGCAAAAATGAACACTCAACCCAGATTCTCCAAATGATAATACCCTTTATAAAAATAGTCATTGTCAAAACCAGGAAGTTGACATTGACCCAGTACTATTAACTCGGATTACAAACTTTGTTTCAAGGCAATATTTGACAGCCTGGAAAATGTTGCTGACAAGCACAAGAAATCTGTCCTGCTTTATCTATCCACCCCTTCTCAACGCAATGTTTCCACATAGGGGGCCATGGCTAGTAGTACTCCATGAACCACTTTATTTGGTTGAACCAATGCCACATACTCCAGTGCCAGTCTCTGTTCAACTGGACTGTAGCAGATGATTAAGGTCAGGGCTATCAAGAGAAATCTTGCCACAATAGGCATATTTCATATCCGGGTGTCTAATATGGAAACCATTGGCTCTTTGTGGTGTTTGGCCACTTGAAATATGGCTAGTTCAAGTGAGGAGCTGATTTTCTACCTTACTTACTTGAAATTTAAGTTTAAATAGGCACACGTGGCTAGTGGCTATCATATTAGACAGTGTAAGTCTTGGCCCAAGGACACTCCCTGCTCCTAACCCCATCTTGATCCCAGACAGCCAAGGGAGACCAGAGCCCAGCTCTCCAATATGAAGAAGAAATCACCTAGTATAGGGGTTTCCTGTTCCATACCTGGATGAGGATCTCCCGTGGAAGAAAATAAGCCTGATATCCATCGTCTCCTTCCCCCCTAGTATTCTCACATGTCCATCACCGTGAGGAAGCAGGAGGTAGAAGAGGAGCATTAGTACTGCGTGGATTCTTACAGCACATACATAATCTCCAGTGATGTTCCAGAATTTCAATCGATCACAATAGGTCCCATTCTCTTGGCACCAGTGATGGGTGAAGGCTGAATATAAGCTAGGAATCTTCTCTTCTTCCTAAGTACTCAATAAGGTCACTTAGGCCCACAGCCTAATGCGAAACAAAACCTTCCAGGAAATACCAGGTGTAGAGAATCAACTGATTCTGCTTCCTGGACATGGAGAGAGCAATGTTGAGTGGGACACAGAGATAGAGTTAAATCCATTGTAATGAAGGGGGAGATGGAGTCAAGGGCTTGAGAGAAGATTCTCCTAAAGACAAAGCATGGGGTCTAGGGCTTTTAACATAAAGTCATGTGGAGAGATTGTCCTGCCACCAGACCTCCATGCTATATACATAACACAACTTTTGTTTTGTTTCCCAGACAGTATTTTGGTGTAAAATTAAGCGTTATTGGTGATGAGATACCTCCGGAAGTGCTTTCTAAAAATAAATTTTCAGAGAACCTAAGTCTGCTTCACACTGGTGTTGCACGTCAGTTTCGTAAGGACTTTTATTCCAAGTAAGTGGAGTGATTACTTGGGGAAAGGTGATGGTAGTAGTGGATTCTGTTCCTGGATATCACAGGGGCACATGAGAATCAGGGAGGTTGGGGTAATTTACATAGGAATCGGGGAGAATGAACGAGCTTATCCAGTCTTACCAACAAATTCAGAAATTTCTGAATGAGGCAGGTACCTCTTCTTTCAGGAAGGTGTCTTTTTTTTTTTTTAGATTTTATTTATTCATGAGAGAGAGAGAGAGAGAGCGAGAGCAGAGACACAGGCACAGGGAGAAGCAGACTCCGTGCAGGGAGCCCAGAATGGGACTCGGACCCGGCCCTCCAGGATCACTCCCTGGGCCAAAGGCAGAGCTAATACGCTGAGCCACACGGGCTGCCTTTTTTTTTTCCTTCAGGAAGGTGTCTTGATAAACTATACACAAACAGGCAGTAACTGATGCAAAGACCAATGTGTCATTGCTTGAGTTGGGAACCAATGCAAATAACCAACTAGGTGCTCTGGGAAACTGGCTGCTGATGAGGCTGAAGGATGGAATGAGGTCCCTGACATGGTGTGCTGGGGAGTGTTCAACACCAGCCTCCCCAGGGGAGAGGGGAGAGCCTTTACTTACAGTATTTGCCAATTTCCATGGGGTGACTACTTCCATTATGGTGTATTTCAAAGTACCAACATGATGTTCCTTAATACAGAGTTGGAAATAGTTGTGCAGTAGCCTGTTATTATATAGTATTTTCCCTACACAGATGACATAATTGTAGATAACTTTAAGAGAGCAGAGGTATAGAGGTGCCTGGCAGGCTCAGTCAGGGAAGCATGCAACTTTTGATCTTGGCACCCTGAGTTCAAGCCCTGGTTGAGTGTAGAGATTAAAAAGAAAAAATATATGTACTTTAAAAAAAAAAGCACTGAGTATAGTATGATGTAGTAAAATGATTACAAAGGAATGTTTCAGCATTTATTACCTTTGTCAGTGATATCGTCTATCTATCTATCATCTATCTAATTATTTAATTAAAAGATTTATTTTTATTTATTCATTGAGAGACATAGAGAGAGAGGCAGAGACATAGAAGAGAGAGAAGCAGGCCCAATGCAGGAAGCCTAATGTAGGACTCGATCCTGGGGCCCCAGGATCACGCTCTGAACCAAAGGACGAGGCTCAACAACTGAGCCACCCGGGCGTCCCAATATAGTCTATTTAAATGAAAATTGTATATGATTTAATTTTTACTAATAGCCATGTTTAACAACCTACCCACAAAATTCCTGGAAAATTTAACATTCAGATACCATGACCTGGGATGAACTGACTCCCACTCACCAGTGACTTCCTTTTTTTTTTTTAATTTTTTTTTAATTTTTTATTTACTTATGATAGTCACAGAGAGAGAGAGAGGCAGAGACACAGGCAGAGGGAGTAGCAGGCTCCATGCACCGGGAGCCCGACGTGGGATTCGATCCCGGGTCTCCAGGACCGCGCCCTAGGCCAAATGCAGGCGCCAAACCGCTGCGCCACCCAGGGATCCCTCACCAGTGACTTCCTCCTAAGTTCCACCCTCAGTCACCACTGGACCCCAGAGTGCACAAGCACCACAAGAAAACAGAAGGCTATGTATTTGCCCTCAGCTTGGCATGGGCCTAACATAATCCATGGCTGATTTTGTAGCCTCAGACAGCAGCAAGACTCCGGAGGGCAGGTCAAGGTTCTCTCACATGGCTTGCCCAAAACCCTTTGAGAAAAGAGCCACAGATTCTTTCTTTGAACTCCACCTCTCCAAATGTGTATTCTTTTTAGCCTTAGTCTATGTATCTATTTCTCTGTGAAAATTCCTCTCATGTTCAAGTGAATAGACATATCAAGGAATATGAGGAATCCAGGGATCAAGGATTACATACGTACAGCAAGAAATCAAGAGAATCTCAGCAAATGTAAATGAAACTAGACATTTCATGATGCAATGGCAGCAATCATGCAATAACTACTGTACCCACAGAAATCAGTGCCTTTGTTCCTCTTTCATCACCCCCCTTCTGTGTTTGGGGAATTTTTAAAGCTTCCAAGGTGCAGTCAGTTTGGTCACCACTACTCTGGGGGCATGTATTGCACCCTTGAGTCAATTGCTAATTCAGTACTTTTATTCCAACAGTCATAGGACACCAAGGAGTGAGTGAGTGAATGAGTGAGTGAGTTATTATTTATTTATTTATTTATTTATTTATTTATTTATTTATTTATTTATTTAACCAAATGACCCCAAAGGTTTATTTGACTAAATTCTATTTCATACATAAGCATGACAGCCTCCTCTATTAGACTTCAGCAGTTAAGAAAAAAACAAAACAAAACAAAACCAAAAAACCAAGCAGCCTCATCCAGAAAAGTGCAAATGCCAAGGGTGAGGTCATCTATAGTGTTACTGCAAGATAAATACACATTTTTTAAAGCCCGCTCTCCTTCTGGCCATATCAACTTTCAATTCCAACCACTAAATATAGATAAATTTTCCAAAAGTCATTTCTTATCTTCTCTAAGATTTTTAAAGCCATCATCATTCACCTCTGTTCGATTTTCCTGAATCACTTTAAGTAGGTCATCTGTAGAGTCTCCCTGAATGATGATTTCATCTTCTTGTGTTACTCAGGCACCACAGAATTTTTTATCTAAAAAAATTTTATCTAAAAATTTTATCTAAAAAATTTTATCTAAAAAATAAAAGATATTTAAATAAATAAAATCTAAAAACATTTTGTTAAACAGAAACAGTTTAACCAAATATTTTTAGATTTTATTTATTTAAATATCTGTTTCTGTTTAACAAAATGTTTTTAGATTTTATTTATTTAAATATCTTTTATTTTTTCAACATGCTGTTACAGGGGATCCCTGGGTGGCGCAGCAGTTTAGCGCCTGCCTTTGGCCCAGGGCGCGATCCTGGACCCGGGATCGAGTCCCACGTCGGGCTCCCGGTGCATGGAGCCTGCTTCTCTGCCTGTGTCTCTGCCCCTCTCTCTCTCTCTCTGTGTGACTATTATAAATAAATAAAAATTAAAAAAAAATTTAACATGCTGTTACATATCTTTTCCCTCCTGGGATGTTGGCAATCCTCACGTTTTGTGTCCCATGTCTTTTTTTTTTCTTTATTTGACACTTTCTACCTCTTCTCCTTCTCCTTCTCCTGAATTTCTTCTCTTCTCCTTCCCCACTGTGCCCTGACCCTCACTTATCCAGCTTCTTGTTTCCATGATTTTCTCCAGTAAGTTTTGGAAACTCATTTAGAACATTCTTCTCTAAGCACTGTGGACACTTAGCAACATTGGGCACATATATTCACAGGGCTCTGTTGGTAATGAACAGTCCCACAGTAAAGGACTCAGAATGGGTAACATGCCTCTAACCTGCCCATGGGTATAGCCCCCCAGATCTTCTTTACCGTCATGCCCACTGGATTCAGAAAAAATAGCAGTCATCTCACAAAAACCGAGATGGTTACAGAACCCCTGTCGTCTCCTCTCCTCCACTACTGCCAGGTGAAATAACAAATGCCCAATCAGAGCCATTTAAACAAAAGAAGTTAGGTATGAGCACTTTGGATACTAGTATAATAGGAGAAGAGGCAGAATGGTCAAGACACTTTTGCCTGGAGAGATCCTCTCTTAGTTCTACTCTCCGTATCCAAGTCATCTCTTTTTTGAGAGTCTAATAGAACTGTTGCTGAGGACATTCTGTGACGATGGAAATGTTCTGGGTGCCTGGGTGGCTTAGTGGTTAAGCGTCCACCTTCATGCCCAGGACATGATCCTGGAGTCCTGAGATCGAGTCGCACATCGGGCTCCCTGCATGGAGTCTGCTTCTCCCTTGGTCTCTGCCAATCTCTCTCTCTCTGTGTCGCTCATGAATAAATAAATAAAATCTTAAAAAAAAAAAAGTAGGGATCCCTGGGTCGCGCAGCGGTTTGGCGCTTGCCTTTGGCCCAGGCCGCGATCCTGGAGACCCGGGAACGAATCCCACGTCAGGCTCCCGGTGCATGGAACCTGCTTCTCCCTCTGCCTGTGTCTCTGCCTCTCTCTCTCTCTCACTGTGTGACTATCATAAATAAATAAAAATTAAAAAAAAAAAAGGAAATGTTCTAGCCTGTGTTAGCCAATATGGTAGCCATTTGCCACAAGTAGGTATTAAGTACTTGAAATGTGGATGGTATAGCTGAGAGCTCAATTTTAATTTAATATCATTGAATTTAATTTAATTGAACGTTTAAATGACCCTTTCTGGATCGTAGCCTTTGTGGCAAAACAGCTCTAGTTTGTAATCACACCCTCCTCATTTCTTTTGGTGAACTGATAATTTTTTTAAAGAGTTTATTAAGATTTCATTAAGATTTTAAATAATCTCCACACCTGGTGTGGGGCTCAAACTCATGACCCAGGATCAAGAGCCATATGCTCCATTGATTGTCAGGCACCCCTTGTGAAATGATTTCTAATATTTTTCTTATTTTTCACACTCCAGGGCCCAAGCTGCCATGAAATGGATAGCCCGGAAATTGCCACTGACAGAAGGATCAGGTAATTGTCTAATATAGAGATGAAGCCAGGCACGTGTGTATTGGGTTGATAGAAATGTCCTGTGGATTTACATGGAGAAGACAATTTGAAGTCCTTTGTGGTGATGACAATCAAAGCAATTTTCTTCAATCAAAAGCAATTTTTCTTATCTGTAACACCATCCTCGCTACAACTTAAATGGGAATATGAGTTGGCTGTAACCTCGGATACTGTATCTGGAATAGACTCCGTATTCCAAACACTCGATTACGGACATTAAACACATTGTCTTCTTATTCTCCATGGAAACTCTATGAGTGGATCATAGAGCCTCTATTTCAAAGACAAAGAAAGGAACCCAAGGGGTGAGAAATCTCCAGTCACTAGGTGAGGTGTGGCAGCATTGGTTTGTGTTTGGGTTCATTTCAAAGGGCCTGCTATCTTTTACCCTAATCCACGCTAAGACTTCAAAAACTGAACAATGTATGATCTTTTGTGACATTTATACTCTGAATGGCTTTGGGCTAGGAAACATTCCTATTGGTAAGCGTGTACTAGGGCTGGCCTAGCAAACTAGCCAGTCTAGGGGACTTAAACAACAGAAGGTAATTTTCTCATAGTTCTGGAGGCTAGAAGTCACAGCTCACCTGCTGACACATTCAGTCTCTGGTGAAGGTTGTCTTCCTGGCTTGTAAGTGGCCACCTTCTCTTGGGGTTCACATGGCCTTTCCTCTATGTATCAAGAAAGAGAGTGAGATAGAAAGATTGGTCTCTCTTCCTCTTCATGTAAAGGACACCAGGACACCAGTCCTATTGGATTAAGAGTTCTTTCTTATTACATCTGTTCACCATTAGAACTCTTTTATAGACTCCATTTTCAAAATCAGCACCTAGACCAGCCCAAAATTTATCACCATTGGTTGGAAAACTTTACCCAACATGACTGTCCTACATCCTGTCAATACTTGCTCCACCTCTCTGTGCTCATTGATGGAAACTTTCCCACAATATGTCGAAGCCATGTGAGGTTCAGGAAAACCAGGGCACTGAATTGGCTGTATCTTGATGCTCAGTCCAGCTCCTGAGGAACCAGGGACATGGTGACAGGGTAACCTCATCTGTACTCACATTAGTAGCTGACGTTGGGAACGTCAGCTTTGGTTTTCTAGAGGAACCAAAATTCAGAGCAGTTCTATAAGGTCAGGTAGCATTAGTCTCTCCATCTTACACAGGAGGAAAAAGACTCAGAGAGTTTAGGTGACTGTTTGAGACTTTTCATTGTTCCTGTACAAAATCCCAACTCTCTGTGAATAGAGATTCCATCCTTTATAATTCTTGATAAACCGTAAACCAATTTTGTCAGAGCATAGTATATCAGAGACTTCTATTGTCCAAGATACAGATATTTGTTCTACGCCAATCATCTTCTCCCAGAGCGTGGGAGGTGCGAATGGAATCCAGCAGCGCATGTGTAGAGGGTCTCCAAGCAGTGCTGGGAAGCCTTCCCAGTTGGTGGTAGAACCGCTCAGGGAACCAGGGGATAGTCTGGGGTGCCTCCAGTTGGATGGTGGTGAACACTACAGTCAACCGGTGTGCTTTTGTGTCTTCAGCTTTTAGGGACTTGCCTTCCTTCACCAGCATCAGATATCAGCTGCTCCTTGGGTCCACTGTAGAAATTTAGCTGCTGTGGTGCCTGGCTGAGGCAAATATCGCCCCCAACCAAAGCTGTCCATCTGGGCTTCCTTCTTAAATGTGGGAGTGCAGTTTCGGTAACAACAAAGAACATTCTCATGCCTTCCACTTCTGGATTCAAAGATCAAAGTGCCCTGTTCTTGCCACACTTCCTTCTCTCTGACATCTAGATTGCGAACAGGACATGTGCCATTGAACCTCCAGGGCTCCTTCAGATCAGGCCTTTTCTAAGAGTCTGCATTTGACACATGCAATGTTTCTTTTTCAGAAGATACTAGCTTAGGAGTGGAGACAGTAGTGCCCATCCAGGCTGCTCAACTGTCTGCTGGGGTTGAACCAGTATGTAAAAGTTATCAGTTCCTGGGGCCTGAAGGAAATGTGGATATTGAGTTGATTGATAAGTCTGCAAACAGATACAGGTAAGAATGGGAGACGCTAATTGTTTCAAAGAATTCTACTCTAAAGGAAGTAAATGCTGTGTGATATTTACTCGTATACACCTACATGATAGGAAACATGATCCATCCCTCAAGACATCTGAAATTTTGTCAGTGTTCTCTGTATTCTATGCAGTGAGTTGGTATTTTAATTTCAACATATGTAGAATACAGAGAAACTGGGGCCCAGAAAACCTAATGAAGTCCCCAGAGGTTCCTACAGTTGTGAAAATCACAGATGGGTCTTGAACCTGGCTCCACCCAAACACCACATCTCTCTGCACTTGTGTTCTTTCAATCAAAGTTCTGGGGTTAACCAGCATGACTATCACTCTGGCTCTTTTCAGCGCCCACTTTCCTGTGGCTGGCTTCTATCTGTGGCCAGCGGTAGGCCTTGGCTTCTTGGTGACAGCAGCAGTGACTGTGAAGATTGCTTTTGATTCTTGGAATCAACGCCTGGGCCTGGTGTTACAGCACCAGGAGCAGTGGATGGCGGCAGGGCCTTTGTTTGAGATCTCTGTGGAGCCTGAGGGGGTCATTGCTGAAATCCACCTCCCCCACATCATCTCCCTCCCAGGTAAAGAGGGACGAGGGGAGGCAGTGGGCCAGTGGGAACGTTATCTGATGGGCTTTGTGATTGTCCTACAGCAAATGAGGTCGATGTCTCTTGGTTCCAAGTCGCCCATTTTAAGGATGAAGGAATGGTCCTAGAACCGCCAAGCCGAGTGGAGCCTTTCTATGCCGTGTTGGAAAACCCCAGCTTCTCTCTGATGGGGATCCTGCTGAGATTCGCCAGTGGGACAGGTGTTTCTGTCCCCATCACGTCCTTGACATTGATCTATTATCACTTCCACCCTGAAGATATTAAATTTCACTTGTACCTCATCCCCAGTGACCCCTTGTTAACGAAGGTAAGGCTGGAGAAGATGTGAGAATTACATGGCAGTTTCTCACCTTGGACCTTCCAACTCTGTATTAAACAGAAAAGTGAAGGCACAGCTTTCACTGATAGAAGCATGAATCACCCTCCCTGAGGTCATCCTGTAGGTGCTGCCTCTTGAGCCATGTGCAAGGATCTGCAATAGGAATTCTGTTCTTCTGAAAATGGAGCTGCCTTCTCTGGGTTTTACAGAGAAGGAAAATACGAGATGAGACTTATGGGGACTGGCAGAGAGTAATGCAGAGATTTCACTGTAGAATTTCAAAGTAATAGGATCTAATTTAAATACCCTCCCCAAACATACACGATACATGCACACCCCTCTGAAGTCCTTTCCCTGTGCAGTAGTATCTCCCTCCAGCACATTTGTGATAGGCTCAGAGTCCCCCAACCATTCCTGGGTTAGTGCTGAAGCAGATACACCGGTCTTTGTCGCTGGAGAGCTACTGCTTTCCCACATAAAGTATCACTTCTGTCCCTGCACCTTTGATCGAGAGGTTCCAGGGGAAGGTTCATTTGATTCTCTAACAATTGGTTTATCCTCCTTCAGCCCCAAGAGAGACAGATGCTTGCCTGGTGGTCATTAGGGTTGTGAGTAACTGTGGGTATTTAAAATACAAGAGAAAATATTTTAATCTGGATGCTAGAGATGACCATTCCTGGGCTATGCAGGAAAGGAAAACTAGAAAAACCAAAACAAAGTCTTAAATGACTCTTTTTTCTATTTTGGACACACCCTAGTTCCCAGGCTGGCCATTTTCCTCCCTTGCCCCCAAATCTCATAGGATCACTTGCTCTACTTTATTGTTGAGTAGAAACAATGAGATGGAATGACCTCATTTTCCTATCATCACTTTGTAGATGTAATTCTGTACTGGCTTCACTACCCCCAACTCTGTCGTGGGCAGTGGGCAGAGATTAGCCTGCCCACTACTTCTTAGAGGCTAGGGTCTGAGACTCTCCTGGATCCCATTCCCTCTGGCCTTCCTGGGAAGATGCTTCACCAGGAAGGATCTGCCGTCAGTCACCTCCTCCATCAGTGTCTCCTACCCTGGCGTCCCATTCCATGAGCAACCCCAGATTGACCATAGCTACCATATTAGAGAAATGTTTTCCTTCACCTCTGAATGTCCATTTCTCTCTTCTGCTACTTGGCAAATGGGTCATCAGCTTTATGGGCCCCCCGGTCTGGACATTCCTCAGTGCTCACTCTGCCCTCAGATGCTTCTTGCTGGGTTACTGTATCTCTATTCCCTCAGATGATTCTGTTCAAAGTCTCCATTGGATGATTCTTCCGTGAAGTCTGGTAGCATGTGTGATGTTGGCCTCACCCATCCTTGGAAAGAGTCCTGTCTAGAAGTCCTTCATACCCTATTTCCCCAATCTCCATATTAACTGTTATGGTCCCTCTTCCATGGCTTCCACAAGACAGTTGCTCTGAAACCTCTCACCTCCTGGACTCACTGATGGTCTTAGTGACTCTTCTGGATCCTGTCACCAAATTCCATGGAAGAGGAAGATTCCTAAATCTGTATCGCTGTCCTGGACCCTCCAGAGCTTTGGGAACTGCCTGACTTAATGTGTCCACTTGAGTGTCCAGGAGAATACCTAGCCTCGTGTATTACTTCCTTTCTTCCCCCAAAACTGCCCTGCTCTTTCAACTCTCTTCCCATAGGGGATATCCAACCAAGTTCCACTAAGTCACTCAAACCCACATCTAGAGTTTGTCTTCAATCCCTGTGTTTCATTTTCTTTCCTCCTCCAGTGTATCCTCCATATCAATGACTTCTACAAAAGAAAAAAAATCAATGGGTTTTACTGTCGTAATATTGCATGAAATTTTATTGGAGCTTGCAATCTGTAGAGCAAGAGACAATAAGTGTGGAGGTGCGTGAGTTCAGCTCTCTGCTTTCAGGAGTCACTTTCATAATGTCACTGGAGCCAGTTTCCTTTCCTTATCACCACCAGCAGTGGTGGCCCCCTCCTTCACGGACTTCTGCTGGAAATAGGACTCAGGCCTTCAGACTTAACTCACTGATTCCGTTTTTGTCTATCTGACTTTTTATCTGCCAACAGAGAGATCTCGTACAAACATAAATATCCCAACACTTCTTGGCCAAGACTCTTCTCCAAATCCTTATTACACTTTGAACATAAACCAAGTCATCTCTCTGCCCGTAGTGTCATCTGGCCCAAGCTATAATCATTGTGTCTATTTATTTCTTTCCATTGGTCTCATGAATCTCTTTATTTACTTATTGTCTGTTTCTTTGTAAATTATAAATAACCTCTCAATCACAGGTTAGTTAAAAGCACAATGTAAGGCCTACTATAGACATTCATGAAATGTTGACAGAAGGAAAGAAATGTGGTCTGTCTTCCTCTATACAGAGGGGAAGAAAAGAGGGCAAACCTTTTCTTCATTTGAAAACCCAAGACAATTTGAAAATGCCACTTTTGCCCTGAGAATGTTCCCTGTTTACATCAGGAGCAGCACAATCCTATGTATTAGCCACTAGCCATGCTTGGCTGCTGAGTCCTTCAATTTAGAGATGCTACAAAATTCAATTATGCAATAAACCTTTTTTAAAGCCACTAAAATTTTGAAGACAGAGTATGAAGAAAAATGCACATGTTATTTAAATAGTATATTGATTACATGTTTAAAGTAATATATGTGGGGTTATATGAAACGTATCATAAATATATTACTAACAGTATTTTCATCAGCTTCCTTTTGCTTTTTTAAAAAATGTGGCTCTTTGAAAAGTTGAAATTACACTTGGGGCCTGTGTTATATCTGTCTCAACGTGGTGCTCCAGGAAAATCCATTGCTCCAGTCAACAAATATTTATTCTGTGCATCACCTATTCCAAGCAGTAATTTAGGGGCTGGGGATGCCTCAGTGGACAAAACAGACAAAAGCAGGACAACCAAAGATTATTTGGAAGATGGAAATGTTTGTGCTACAAGAAAAATATATGTGCCTATGACAAGTGCTATTAAAAAAAAAAGGCAGGTAAAGGGAATGACCTTCAATCCATAAAACAAACTAAGTACAGGTGTATGTCCCACTATCTGCAGAAATCTGCTCTTAATGATAACCGTCAATTTTTAAAAAAGATTTTATTTATTTATTCATGAGAGACACAGAGAAAAAGACGGAGACACAAGCAGAGCCAAAAGCAGGCTCCATGCAGGGAGCCCGACGTGGGACTCAATCTTAGGTCTCCAGGACCACACCCCGGGGTGAAGGCAGCACTAAACCGCTGAGCCACCGGGGCTGCCCATAACCGTGACTTAAAAAAAAAAAAAGATTTATTTATTTATTCATGAGAGGCACACACAGAGAGAGGCAGAGACATAGGCAGAGGGAGAAAGAAGCAGGCTCCTCACAGGGAGCCCAATGTAAGACCCGATCCCGGATCCCAGGATCATGCCCCAAGATGAAGGCAGATACTCAACTGCTGGACAAACAAGGAGTACCCCCTGCCCCACGTTTTTCTTTTTTCTTTTTTTTTTAGATTTATCTATTTATTCAAGAGAAACACACACACACACACAGAGGTAGAGACATAGGATAACCCGTCAATATTATAGTGATGTATTTGGTTATTTTAGTTCCAATCTCTTATTACCATAATTTCTTTTAAATGTGTCTACTCATTTAAAATACTTTTTAAAAAGATTTCTAGAAAGTAACCTCTACCCTAACCTGGGGCTCGATTTCAACACTCTGAGATGGAGTGACATGCTCTACTGACTGACCCTGCCAGGCACCCCTAAAATAATTCTTCATCAGAGATGGCATGGCACATTGCTGTCTTTCCCCCTTCCTTTTCTTTTATTCCTGTGGAGCTGTTACTCTTTACTAGAATGTGTGTAGTGACTCCTTGAGAGCCCATTGCCTCCCTCCCCTGCCTCTGCCCCACTGGAGTTTCATTCCCTTCCTGATACAATTTGAAAATTTTCTTCAGGTCCAATTCGTGTATCAGCATTGGACATCCTTCCCTTTAAACGGATATATGGATTTCTTTTTTTAAATTTTTTATTTATTTATGATAGTTATACAGAATGACAGAGAGAGGCAGAGACATAGGCAGAGGGAGAAGCAGGCTCCATGCACCGGGAGCCCGACATGGAATTTGATCCTGGGTCTCAGGATCGCGCCCTGGGCCAAAGGCAGGCGCTAAACAACTGCGCCACCCAGGGATCCCTATGGATTTCTTTTAACATGAATCAAATAGGCAGATAAATGTATTGCTCCCTAATTTTCACAGTACACACACCTTGTATACAGCACACAGATCGAGAAGTGGAACATCACCAGCTTCTCCTTCCCCTTCCTGCCTCCTCATCACTACCCACCAAGAGCATTTACTAACTGGACACTTACACTGTAATTGATTTTGATAGTGATCCTTGCTCGTTTATTCCGTAAAGTCTCTATTGAGCTGTCGCTGAGACTCTCAAATGCTGTTATTATTTTGTTGTTTCAGTTCTATTCTGTGTGTTTGGAGGCTCCTCGAATAGTTCCAAAGGCTCCTCTGCTCTGTTTCTGGGCCTCTCTGGTGATGTCACAGCTGTATTGGTGCACAGGTAGTAGAGCATTTCATGGGGGCAGCAGCCTTCTGATGCAGGAAAGTCGTCTATACCCTCATCCCTCATAGATCCAGCTGCAGACTGGGTGGTGCCCTGCCAGGGCAAACAGAAAGAATTGTCTTTGTCTGCAGCTTTGAGGAGCACTCAGACAAATCCTGCCGCATTATAGGAAGAATGATCAATCTATACAGAGATTTGTGATGAAAAGAATTGTCTTGGGAGGAGGCACCTGGACGGCTCAGTTGTTTAAGCTTATGACTTTTCATTTTGGCTTAGGTCATGATCTCAAGGTCACGAGATGGAGCCACCAAGTCAGGCTCTGCTGAATGTAGAGACTGCTTAAGATTCTCTCTCCATTTAACACCCACCCCCCCGAAAAAAAATATAAATCCCTTGGCTCTGAGATAACCACCAGTAAAATTTTATTAATACATCCCTCCATGGGGCACCTGTATGACTTAGTCAGAGGAGCTTGCAACTTTGAGTCTCAGGATTATGAGTTTGAACCACCTATTGGGTGTAGAGATTTCTTAAAAATAAAATCATAAGAGAACTATATCTCCTCATGCACAGAGGCATAAATCTTTACATCATTTGAATCATATCATACATGCTACTTAATACCACATATGGAGGACTTTGTGTGCCACTACCTTTGCTTTATTACTTTTAGCTTTGTCCTCTGATTTGCTTCTGCTTCTTCCTCAGGCAATAGATGATGAAGAAGCTAAGTTTCATGGTGTGCGTCTGCAGACCTCACCCCCAGTGGACCCCCTGAATTTTGGTTCCCGTTATATCGTGTCCAGTAATGCTCATCTGGAGATAATACCTGAGGTTGGTAGAATTGAATCTAACTCAGATTTACCTCAGGCTTCAAAATGTTATGTTCTTCGGAAAACAATGGAAGACTAATGCAGGGTCAGTAGCTCCGGTGATTATTCTCTGAACCACACCCTGATAAAAGCTTGGCTACCTTTCCTTTCAGGGATAATACTATTTCTGAAAATTGTAACCTTAAAAGCTGTTGACCATCCTCCCTCTTTTCACCCTCAACCAGCTATGAGGCTGTGTAGGAAACGATCATAATTCAGTGGCCAGTTCACTGTTGGCAAACAGGCCTTTCTACACCCCCCCCCCAATGCTGTAATTCAAGTGGTGTGTTTCCTCTAGGAGTTGAAATTATCCTACAGGAGTCCTGGAGAAATCCAGATATTCTCCAAAGTCTATGCTGGGAGGATGAAGGAACCAATCATACTTGAAATTACTGAAAAAAGACACAAGACTTTGGTCTGGCGCACTTTGGTGAGGCCAGGTAGGTGCCAATATGAGTCTAAAATTTGGGGGGGGGGAATCATGCACCTCTCTCCCCTTGGTTGTAGTGAAGTATGTCAGAGGAGAAGGTCTGTGTATGGTCCCAACTACAGTTTAGAGTCAGTGTTGCATTGAAAAAAGTTTTGGCAGTGGTCTTGTGTGCCTGGGATAGAGGTGGCTGTTGGAGTTGACAATTGGAACCTCTCATTGGAGATGTTGCACAGGAGATGCTAATCATAAGAATCAGAAGGTGCATAAAGTTGGTTTAATCCTATCTTTTGGGCAATTTTATACTTGTTGACATAAATGGAGACTAAGCAGCTGTTGAAGGAGGAAGGTCACAAAATTTCTCAGAACTTTAAACAACAGCAGGACTTTTATTTTATTTTTTTCACTTCTTTTTTTTAATAAGAAATTCATTTTTTATTGGTGTTCAATTTGCCAACATACAGGAAAACACCCAGTGCTCATCCCGTCCAGTGCCCCCCTCAGTGCCCGTCACCCATTCACCCCCATCCCCCGCCCTCCTCCCCTTCCACCACCCCTAGTTCATTTGCCAGAGTTAGGAGTCTTTATGTTCTGTCTCCCTTTCTGATATTTCCTACCCGTTTCTTCTCCCTTCCCTTCTATTCCCTTTCACTATTATTTATATTCCCCAAATGAATGAGAACATATAATGTTTGCCCTTCTCCGACTGACTTATTTCACTCAGCATATTACCCTCCAGTTCCAACCACGTTGAAGCAAATGGTGGGTATTTTTCACTTCTAATGGCTGAGTAATATTCCATTGTATACATAAACCACATACCATTCTATCTTCTATATCCATTCATCTTTCGATGGACACCGAGGCTCCTTCCACAGTTTGGCTATTGTGGACATTGCTGCTATAAACATCGGGGTGCAGGAGTCCCGGCGTTTAATTGCATCTGTATCTTTGCGGTAAATCCCCAACAATGCAATTGAACAGCACGACTTTTAGAAAGAAAACATAAGACCATGTTGAAGGCTTAATGATAAACACAGTTTAGTTATTTTCCCAAATGGTTGCTCCAGTCAGCAAATGTCCCACCGACTTACAAGTGTGTTCAACTTACAAGTTCTGAACTATCAAGAATTTCAGTGTTCTAGAGTTTAAAAAATATCCACACTTATTGATCAAATGTACTCACTCAATGATGGCATTTCGAGTCAAAAATACATTTACCTAGAGGATAATGACGAACAGTATGATCATTTTTACCGTACCTTTCGCATTTCCTCACATTAACTTCTAAATAGAAACAGAAATAGAAAGGAAAAATGAGTTCCCTCCCTGAATGCATTTCCTTAATAAGCAGCGAGTGATCTTCTACTTAATTGGGTGCCATTGGTATATGATGTTTCAATGGAATCTTCAAGTTAGGAAGTGGAGCTAAATTACTTTAGTGGGTTACATCAAAGACCAGAGAAACTACAGGGTTGCCTGAATGGCTCAGTCAGAAGAACGTGTGACTCTTGATCTCGGGGTTCTGAGTTTGAGCCCCATGTTGGCTGTAGAGATTACTAAATGAATAAAACAAGAACAAACCACTTACAAAAAAGAAAAAAACACCTAGATGAAGGTATATGGTTCATTTCATTCTCCAACTTCTCCTCCTTTCCTAGTGGATCTCCAGTTTCATTCTGCAGCAGCCCCTCCTCCTCTCTCAGGTGAGTGCAATGCTTCCACCAAAAGTCAAAAGGATGTGTCTGATTTCAGGAGGTGTTTGAGTGGTGTGATGTGGCTCAATGAGAGATCATACCTTCTCTTCATTTACAAAGACCCAGTGGTGTCCTAGACAAAGAAGGAGCCTGAGCCACTTCAGGAACAAACTCGTGAGGGGGTGTAATATGCAGACTCTGAGCATGCAACCAGTCTTATTGGGGAACACACATTGCATCTGATGAACTATAGGTGAAAGTAGTTTGATATGGCTGGACATGAAACTTTAGAGGGAGGGAGGCCCCATGAGACCAGAGAGGCAGGCAAGAAACAGACGTTGAAAGCATAAGGATGATGGTTGAAATCTTTTGGACATTAAGCTGAAGGCACGGGGACTTTTGCAGGGTAGGTAGCAATGCATTCACTTTTCTCAAGAGTGTGGATGAATGTTGGCAGTGAACGGACAGGAAGTGGGAACCGGGTTATGAGGCTGCTGTAAAAATCAAGAACAGGGATTAGCTGGGCATTGGTTAAGGTTCCTGGAGTTGGTAGGTAGCAGCGAAAGAAATGATTCAAAGTAAGGAGTCAAGGGGCACCTGGCTGCTGGCTCTGTTGGAAGAACTTGTGATTCCTGATCTTGAGGTTGTGAGTTCAAGCCCATGCTCGGAGTAGAGATTACTAAAAAAGTAAAATAATAAAGCCTTTTTAACATAAGTAAATAAAATAAGGAATAAAGATCAAGGGACTCCCTTCTGCCTTCCATGTTGTTGGCTTTGACTGTCAGGCTCCACGTAGTAAAAGTGACAGTCCTCCTATCTCAAAACAGATCATCCAGGAGGAGAAAGATAGCATCTCCTGATGCCCCTCAGTGAAGAGAAGACTCCTCCTCAGGTGTCACATTGGCTTGAAATGGCAATAGACCCATTTCCTGGCCAGCTAGTGGTGGTGTCAGGAGGTCCAGAGAGGCAGACTAGCTAAAGAAAATCAGGCCCCACACCTGGAGTCGCAGTTGGGTTCCAACCCAACCACAGATCTTGGTTAAGCATGAGCTAAGGATGATTTCACAAAGAAAATGAAAAGGATTTATGCAGGTTGTGAGTGTATGGCACCAGCAAAAGGTCTCTACCCTTCCTATTATGCAAGCTCTTGAGCAAGAGATATCTGTCACCCGGTGTCACAAGATAAAGCTGAGCCTGGTTTTCTCTCTCTAGAAGACCCTTCAGAAGCTGCTGCCAGCCCACACCTTTGCCAGCCAAATCTCCATTCTGGCCACCATGCACTGTGAAGCATGACGTCTCTTTTCCTCTTTTCCTTTTTGGCCTGGTGGCATCTTGTATTTCTTACAAGATCCTACTCCTTCAGATCTTCTTTTGATACTAACTCTTCTGTGAAGACTTTGCTTCAAAGTCTAGTCATCCTATCTTTTCTGACCCAAAGGCTTTGGTTGCATTTTTCCCTCATGAAATCAGGGTAATTAAAAGGATCATGATGACAAATGCAACTTACTGACTGCCTGTAGCATGCCAAATATTCAGGTATGTATATTTGTGCTTTATATACCCCATTTCTGTCTATCCCTGTGAATAATCTTTGACTTGCTCCCCCACAGAATCATGGAGGAGGTATGGAGCTAACATGGCAATGGCTGTTACTTCACACACCTCGCACTCATGGGGTTTCTATTCCAGCAGGTGGAAACAACAAAGCTGATTTCACTGTGCTTATCAAAATAACAGTGGTGGATGTGTTCCAAAGGAATTTTAGGGGGATTTAGGAAAGAATAATACACAGGCTCAGATCGAACATTGAATGAGTTAAAATGTTTCAGAGTGCATCCTAGAGAGGGGAAAGAAGGTGAAGTTTATGTCCAGTTAAGAAGATTGAGTATAAGTTGTTAACCATTGGGTAAGATGACCACAACCAATGCAGTGAGACTAGGTTAAGATGAGAATCTTTCTGAAAACAGAAAACTCATTATTCCAATCGAGGAATCATCGAATGTACAGTTACAATGACTTTTCAGTATAAGCACCAAGACTTCAGAGAAATCAGATCATTAAATTAAACTGTTTGGTTATAAGAGCAGATGACTGAACATTAACGATCTGTGCCATTGTGTTAAGAACGAAAGTTCTAATTGCGTAAGTTATAAGTAGGAAGCATTCATACTTTTAGCTTCTTAAGTGGCTTAGTAGGTTCAGCATCCAACTCTTGATTTTGGCTCAGGTCATGATCTCAGGGTCACGAAATGGAGCCCTTAGTTGGGCTCTAAGCAGGGCATGGAGCCTGCTTAAGGTTCTCTTTCTCCCTCTGCCCTCCTCCCCCTGCTGGAGCTCTCTCTCTCTCTCTCAAAAAAAAAAAAAAGGCTAAAGCAGTCATGGTTGTAGTGAATGAACTGAGAAACAAGAAAGTGATGTGATTTGGCCAAGGTCACACAGGTATTATATATGGAAACCAGCATGAACCCTGAGTCAGCGTGATGCAAAATACCTTCTTCTCTCCAGTGATCCTGGTTCCTTCTGTGTTGCATTTAGCCACTTACATCTCTTTCTATACACTTTTTAAGAAGACCCCTGAGGGTGCGGAGCTAGTCTAGACCACCTGCACCTCCGGTATCATGCATATCAATGTATGACCTTGAAGATTGTTAGAAGATGAGTAGATGAGTGTACAGCAAGATAGAGCCTCTCTAGGATTCCAATGAAAACTGGAAAGTGATGAAGGAGAGGCGCTCCAAGCTGGGAGGGAGGAGATGGGGTGGGATTGAAGTAGAGAAATCATTGAGTTTCCCTAAATTCATAGTCCCCTGAAAATGGACTGGGAATCCTGAAGATGTGCATTTAAGGTCTGTCCAGGCAACATGCAAAAGAGAATGAACACTATCTCCACAGAGAATTATGTCTCTAAGGCCATCTGGGTGGCCCAGTTAGTTAAGCATCTGGCTCCTGATCTCAGTTCTGGGTTTGATCTCAGGGTCATGTGTTCAAGCCCTGAGTTAGGCTTCACACTAGGCATGGAGCTTACTTCAGGGAAAAATGAAAAAGGAAATATGTCTTATGTCTTATGGAGTTTGTGAACTCCATAAGAGTGCTATCCCTTCCTGAGTCTGCAAATCTTCCTTCTGCCCAGGTAAGGCCTTTCTGAAGGAGCACCGCCGGCAGCTGCAAGCCAGGCTGGGAGACCTGAATGGAGTACTGGATGACCTTCAGGACAGTGAGGTCTTCACCGAGGAAGAGAAGGAGCTGGTGCAGCAGTGCCCTACACAGCAGCGGAGGAATGAGACCCTGCTGAGGATGGTGGAGAAGAAAGGGCACCAGGCCCTGGGGATCCTCTTCCAAAGCCTTCATAGAAGAGATCCTTACCTGATGTCCTACCTCAGCCAGCAGAGTTTACAACAGTGACTCAGGTAGATACTCACAAAGAGAGAATCCAGTGTTCTCCACTGAAAATGAACAAACAGGGGTGCTTGGGTAGTTCAGTGTATTAAGCATCTGACTCTTGATTTCAGGTCAGGTGTTGATCTCAGGGTCATGATGTTGAGCCCTGCACTGGGCTCAGTGCACAGCTTGGAGTCTGCTTGAGATCCTCTCCCTCTGCCCCTCCTCCCATTCACACACACACTCTCTCTCTCAAATGATTGAATAAATCTTTTTTAAAAAGGAAAGAAAATGGATAGACAAACATGTGATCATTTAGCTCAGTGTCCAAGACAAAAGGGGTCAAAGTTACACCTATCCATCACACAGATTTTATTGAGGACTGATCTGTAACTTGGCAATATCTATTACTGTATCCTAATATAATTTAAGATTTTTTATGTTATTTAAATCCCTTCAATTAACCTATAATATATTTTTGGTTTCAGAGGTTGAGTTCAGGATTAATCAGTCTTATATAACACCTAGCACTTATCTTGTCCCCTCCTTAATGTCCATCACCCAGTTACCCCATCCCCCACCCTTTCTCCCTTCCAGCAACCCTTAGTTTGTTTCCTATGATGGATAGAGAATTTGTTAAGTTTAAAATGGGTGTTGAGAGTGCACCTGGGTGGCTCAGTTGAGTAATACCTGAATCTTCGTTTCAGCTCAGGTCATGATCTCTGGGAGTGGGATGGAGCCCCACGTTGGGCTTGCCTCCTGGTGCAGAATCTGCTTGAGAATGTCTCTCATAGAGCATGCAATGCTTGACCCTGAGGTTATGATTTTGAGTCCCACGTTGAGCTCTGAACTTACTTTAAAAACAACAAAAAAGGTTTATTAAAAAAAGTGTGTCCTAAAAATTTCAGGTCATCATAAACAAATAGAGAATGAGATTATTATCAATGCCAGGAAAGAAAGAAAAAAAGGGAACAAGAAAACATTCTCGATCAAACTTAAAGTAAGAAAGGTTAAAGAAAGAATCCTAAAATAAGAAGGCAAAATAGAAATCACAAAATATATGGTAGAAAGAAATCACAATATAACAGTAGTGACACACACATTATATTGTTCGATTAATATACAGTCTGGACGTTTCCTAGTCTGATAGTCCTTGACAATCAGGTTGGGAAAAATAAAGGTTTTATTTTGTTTACCGCTATGAAGGAAAGCACATGGCTAAAAACATGTATTATTTTGAAATAAAAGGAAAATTCTATTTTATTTATTTTTATATTTAAAGATTTTATTTATTTATTTGAGAGAGAGAGAGAGAGAATGAGCAGTGGGAGGGAGAGGGAGAAGGACAAGTAGACTCCCCACTGAACAGGGAACCCATTGTGGGGCTCAATGCCAGAATTTAGGGATTATGACCTGAGCTGAAGGCAGATGATTATGTTCTACATGTCTTTCAAATAAACTTTAAAGTTGTCATAAACCAAATTGGCACTTGAGAAAATATGATGAAAATCTAAACACAGTATACAATAAAATGCTTTATACTTAAAATAACTTGTATATCAGCTTGCAGTTTTCATCTGTAAGCAAAGCATGGTGATAATCAACATATTATTATTACCGCTTAAAGAAATCAAAACTAAAGCTGCTGAGAGGGATCCCTGGGTGGTGCAGCGGTTTGGCGCCTGCCTTTGGCCCGGGGGGCGAACCTGGAGACCCGGGATCGAATCCCACGTCGGGCTCCCGGTGCATGGAGCCTGCTTCTCCCTCTGCCTGTGTCTCTGTCTCTCTCTCTCTCTCTCTGTGACTATTATAAATAAATAAAAATTAAAAAAAATAAATCTTTTGAGAGCAAAGTAAGATATGTGTTAAGGCACCTGGCTGGCTTAGTTTGTAGAGCCCTTGACTCTAGATCACATGGTTATTAGTTCGAGTTCCCAACTGGGAACAGAGATTCCTTAAATGTAATTTTAAACACGGGGGTGGGGGGGGGGCAAGATGGCGGAGGTGTAGGGTCCCCAAGTCACCTGTCCCCACCAACTTACCTGATTACTTTCAAATCATCCTGAACCCCTATGAATTCGACCTGAGATTTAAAGGAGAGAACAACTGGAACGCTACAGAGAGAAGAGTTTGTGCTTCTAACAAGGTAGGAAGATGGAAAAAAAATAAAGTAAAAAAGAATCCAGTGGGTGAGGGGCCCCCACTAGGAGCCGGGCTAAGGTGGGAGGAGGGGGGCAGCGGCGAGAGCCTCCAGGACAGGAATGCACAGTCCTGGAGAAGTAGGAACTTTAAAAATCCGCACCGGATTCTTCTCGGAGGGAAAGGCACTTAGCGGGGAACTCAGGCAGGAGGGGCAGAGGAGCCTCCAGGTTGCCGGGGTTACTAACAGAGGAAGTACGCCTGGGGGAGAGCACACCCGCACCACTGACCCAGCTCGGTAAAGGGCTGGAGCAATGCCCGGTGGGGCCTCGGGAGAAGCTCAGGCGGTGGCTCCAGGGGAGGGGGCTGCGTCCTGCTGCTTTGGGGAGGTGCGCCCCGGGAGCACAATTCTAGCAGCACAGGCCCTAGATCCCGGCGCCGTGGACCGCCCAGATCCTGCGTTCCCTCGGGACAGGCAGAGGTGGGGAGGACGCAGGACAGTGAGGACTCTCCTGCTGCCCAGTGCCCCTAAGCTATGCAGATCAGCGCCCCCCACCCCCGGGAGCATCCAGGGCAGTGCAGACTGGGAGACTGCGGTAGTTACTGCGGGAACTGACTCTAGAGCTGGAGAGCTGGCCGCGGCCAGTGTTGTTGTTGCTCCTGGTGTCACCCTGTGCCTGGGATGGAGTGGGGCTGCCAGGGAACAGGGGCCTCACAGGATAAACAGCTCCTACTGAGCCATGCACCTGGCAGGGGGCAGGGCAGCGCCCCCAGGTGCACACACGTGAGAACCAGCACAGCAGACCCTCCCCCAGAAGATCAGTTGGAAGGACAGGGGAAGAGCAAGTTCTTCACCGAGCAGCGCTGGAAAGCTCCAGGGGAAGTCGAGGGATTTACGGTATATAGAACCAGAGGATACCCCTCCTTGTTTTCTTGTTTTGTTTTTTCTTTTTTTTTCTTCCTTTTTCCAGTACAACTCATTTTTAGCCATTCTGCACTGAGCAAAATGACTAGAAAGAACTCACCACAAAAGAGGGAATCAGAAACAGTACTCTCTGCAGCAGAGAATTGGATTGTTGGAATTTGGATTACAATTCAATGTCAGAAAACCAATTCAGAAGCACAATTATAAAGATACTGGTGGCTCTGGAAAAGAAGCATAAAGGATTCAAGAGACTTCATGACTGCAGAATGTAGATCTAATTAGGCTGAAATTTAAAATCAATTACATAAGATGCAATCCAAACTGGAGGTCCTAACGACAAGGATTAATGAGGTAGAAGAAAGAGTGAGTGACATGAAAGACAAGTTGATGGCAAGGAAAGAAGCTGAGGAAAAAAAGAAAAAACAATTAAAAGACCATGAGGAAAGGTTAAGGGAAATCAATGACAGCCTCAGAAGGAAAAATCTACATTTAATTGGGGTTCCAGAGGGCGCCAAAAGGGACAGGACCAGAAAGCATATTTGAACAAATCATAGCTGAGAACTTCCCTAACTTGGGGAGGGGAACAGCCATTCAGATCCAGAGGATAGAGAGATCCCCCCCTAAAATCAATAAAAACCGTTCCACACCTCGATATTTAATAGTGAAACTTGCAAATTCCAAAGATAAAGAGGAAATCCTTAAAGCAGCAAGAGACAAAAGATCCCTGACTTACATGGGGAGAAATATTAGATTAACAGCAGACCTCTCCACAGAGACCTGGCAGGCCAGAAAGTGCTGGCAGGATATATTCAGGGTCCTAAATGAGAAGAACATGCAACCAAGAATACTCTATCCAGCAAGGCTCTCATTCAAAACAAGGAGAGATAAAGAGCGTCCAAGACAGGCAGAAACTGAAAGAATATGTCACCACCAAACCAGCTCTGCAAGAAATATTAAGGGGGACTCTGTAAAAGAAAGAGGAAGCCCAAAGAAATAAGTCAAAAAAACAAGGGACTGAATAGGTATTATGAAGACACTAAATTCATATCTTTCAATAGTTAACTCTGAACGTGAATGGGTTTAATGATCCCATCAAAAGACGCAGGGTTTCAGACTGGATAAAAAAGCAAGTCCCATCTATTTGCTGTCTACAAGAGACTCATTTTAGACCTAAGGACACCTACAGCCTGAAAATGAAAGGTTGGAGGACCATTTACTATTCAAATGGTTCTCAAAAGAAAGCAGGGGTAGCAGTCCTCATATCAGATAACTTAAAGTTTATCCCAAAGACTGTAGTAAGAGATGAAGAGGGACACTATATCATACTTAAAGGATCTATCCAACAAGAGGACCTATCAATCATGAATATTTATGCCCCTAATGTTGGAGCTGCCAAGTATATCAATCAAATAATAACCAAAGTAAAAACATACTTAGATAATAATACACTTATACTGGGAATCTTCAACATGGCACTTTCTGCAAATGACAGATCTTCTAAGCACAACATCTCCAAAGAAACAAGAGCTTTAAATGATTCACTGGACCAGATGGATTTCACATGCATTTACAGAACTTTACATCCAAACGCAAATGAATACACATTCTTCTCAAGTGCACATGCAACCACATACTGGGTCACAAATCAGGCCTTCTAAAGAGTTTTTTTAATTTTTTTTTTAATTTTTATTTTTTTCACAAATCAGGTCTTAACCGATAGCAAAAGACTGGGATTGTCCCCTGCGTATTTTCAGTCCATAATACATTGAAACTTGAACTCAATCACAAGAAGAAATTTGGAAGAAATTCAAACATGTGGAGGTTAAAGACCATCCTGCTAGAAGATGAAAGGGTCAACCAGGAAATTAGAGAAGAATTAAGAAGATTCATAGAAAGTAATGAGAATGAAGATACAACCGTTCCAAATCTTTGGGATACAGCAAGAGCAGTCCCGAGAGGGAAATACATCGCAATACAAGCATCCCTCAAAAAACTGGGAAAAACTCAAATACACAAGCTAACCTTGCACCTAAAGGAACTGGAGAAGGAACAGCAAATAAAACCTGCACCCAGCAGAAGAAGAGAGCTAATAAAGATTCAAGTAGAACTCAATGAAATAGAGACCAGAAGAACTGCAGAACAGATCAACAAAACCAGGAGTTGGTTCTTTGAAAGAATTAATAAGATAGATAAACCATTAGCCAGCCTTATTAAAAACAAAAGAGAAAAGACTCTAATTAATAAAATCACGAATGAAAAAGGAGAGATCACAACCAATATTAAGGAATGCAAACGATTTTAAAAACATATTATGAGCAGCTATACACCAATAAATTAGGCAATCTAGAAGAAATGGAAGCATTTCTGGAAAACCACAAAACTACCAAAACTGGAACAGGAAGAAATAGAAAACCTGAACAGGCCAATAACCAGGGAGGAAATTGAAG